GTTACATTTGCTAATACCTTCTTTGTAATGTCTATAGGACCAATCTACTGATATCTCTGAACAGCACTTCTATGGCCTTGCATGTTATTTTCTCTTGTATCTTTTCAAGAATTTATTCCATCACTACTATAGTAGCAAGATCCAAGATAAATATTAGGTGAAGGATTTACAGTTGATAGCTAGGATCATATTTGAAAGGTGTACATTTATGGCTATTAGAACTAATTGATTAACAAGTACTACTTGTAACCGGAGCTGGTACTCGGTTAGTTTGTTTTATGTTTTATTTTAAGTATCGGTTGATACTTAGTTTGTTTTATGTTTTGTTTTAAGTATTGGTTGATACTTAGATAGTTTTATGGATTGATTGAGTAAGAACATGAGTGAGAATTCATGATCGTACTCAAACACATATACTTAAAAAGACCGCCGTCTTCCACTCTGGAAATGGCAGACTTCGACAGATGGTATTCTAATATACTCGGTTGAACGGTTAGAAAAATGTAACGTGTTCATGCCAGGGCGCTAGTCACGTCGCAGGGTACAATAGGATAGAACTGATGATCGGCCAGAGAATAACAGTTCTTAGGCTTGCTAAGGGAGGCTTCGGTAGCGTAATAGGAAAATAAAGATAACTGTTCAACCAAGTATATTAGAATACCATCTGTCGAAGTCTGCCGTTTCCAGAGTGGAAGACGGCGGTCTTTTTAAGTACATGTGTTTGAGTCCGATCATGAATTCTCACTCATGTTCTTACTTAATCAATCCGTAAAACTATCCAAGTATCAACCGATACTTAAAACAAAATATAAAACAAACTAAGTATCAACCGATACTTAAAACAAAACATAAAACAAACTAAGTATCAACCAATACTTAAAACAAAACATAAAACAAACTAACCGTGTACCAGCTCCGGTTACACTACTGGACTCAGGCTGTTTTGTGACCCCACCTGTCAGTATTATATAAGACTGAATAAAGTGGAAGGAAGGAAGAGAAAGAGGAGGAAACTCACAAAGTAACATCCTACAATATCACCCCAGGCCACCTAACGGTGTCAGTACTACCAACATCACCACTCCAGCACCAACCTTCTTGAACATAGGGTGTACCTGAACAACCAGCAGACATGAAACAGAAATAGGATCCATGCAACCCCCAACACCGCCAGGCTCACCCGGGCAGATGTGCGAAGAAATCCTCTTAATAGATATCTGCTACAGCAACAAGTTCCAATGGATCCCTGCCGACTTCCTTCACACAGAGCCTCATGGTGTTGGCATTGCACGCACTCCCAGTCACTGCCGTGGTCGATGCATCAGTTGTGTTAGACCGCACTGATGGTAGAAGATGTCTTGTTGCCAAGGTCGGAAGAGATGAGGCAAAGGAATATTAGGTTGGCAGTGATGGGGGAGGGAATGCTAGACCGGTGTCGTAACTTAGTTCTATCAACAAGAGCCTCCAAAATGATGGGATGGAGCTCCCTGTCAATGGGGAGGAGACGAAGATGAGGGAGATGGAGAGGGCGAGGAGGACAAAGAGGAAGATAGGCTTTGTGCATTGACCTATCCATACCGGCATACGTCCAAGTAGCCAACAATGTACCGTAGGGATTCTTATTCTATGGTTCCATTCATCACTTTATCGCTATCCCAACTAGACTATCTGTTACAACCTGTCCACCCCGGGCAACGAAGTACATAACATATTCTTTAGTAGTCTAGTCGTATATACCGTACACATAATGAGGGCTTTCTGAATAGAAATTTTGTAAAAGTGGAGGGCGCTTAGATATAACCGGTCTTTCTCCCAATGGTAAGAGTATCTGGAAGGTATGATATTGCACGGAAATGCGCGGTACTCATAAAGAACCGATACAGCAGTGAAAAGTTCACTTGTTGGACTGTGGACAGAACGGTAAGGACACGAGTAGCCAAGGATTAGGTGTCCCCCACCAAGAGCCTCAACCTATTTCCAATTGCCCCTACCGGTACTGTACTCGTACACCCATGCCGGCGGGTACCGTTTCACTTCTGCAAATCAACCCGTTTTCGCGCCGATAAGCCCACATGCCCATCCACCGCACGATATGGAAGACTGGGGATCGCCGTGGGCTGATGATGAGAAACTCAGTGATAATGATGACGGGCCCAAAGAGAAATTTCCGCCGAGAGCGAAAGGTGTTGAGGAAGAGGGCAATCATCTAGAGAGGGAGGGAGAGGCGGTAGTAACCCCAGTTGCGGAGGAGAAACGGGACGTTGGGGAAACAGGCCTGGCGGTGGATTGGGATAGTGGGTTTGCCGATTCGTCAGCTTGGGCGAATGCTACACCGAGGGAGCAGGTCCGGGATGGGAATGACTTTGGGTGGGGAGCTTTGGGCTTAGGGGATCTGCCGGGGGTGGGAGCAAAGGGGGGTGGTGGTTCGGGGGAAGAGGGGGAAGTCAGAATTGAGGACGACTGGAGGGGTAGTGATGAGGATGGGGATGTCAAGGCTGCTAATCCTCATCCGATAGCTACCGATGAAGTCAATGCATGGGGTGCCGGCTCGGATTGGGGAGATCCTAAGACCCCCGAACCCCGGATTGGGAGAACTAAAAGCGCTCCGGGTTTATCTTTAGGTGAAGTGGGGGATAATACCCCTGATGGGGGGTCCGATACGGAAGTGAAGAGCTTGCCCACTCCAGATGTCGAGAGACATGACCAACTCATCGATGCAGCAAACCTTCTAAGCAGTCCTAAGAAACAGTGGGTAAGCGATAGGGTAGCCCAGAATGTGAAAGGGGGCTCGAAAGATCATCTGCAGCCGGTTCTGGAGGCTGTTTCGGAGACTCAGGAGGACCCAAGGGATGCCGGTCCACCGCCATCAGAACCACATTCGGCCACCGCGTCGGTCTGCGAGGCGAGCTCTTCGAGAGGTGGCTTCACGAATGTTAATGCTGGGGACCAAGATGACGACGACGATGATTTTGGGGACTTTGCGGCGGAAGGCGGGGAATTCGAGGAACTCCAAGCACCCATATCAGAGCCAACACTTCCTGCAGTGATCACAGCACCTCCACCAGACTCTTTCGAAATAGATGTCTCTTTTGTCTCAAAGCTATATCCGATCCCAACCAGCCGTCCAGACCCGCCACCAATCGAGGAAATTATCTCAACTACAGAATCGTGAGTGGGCAATTACTCTGTTTGGTGTTCATATTTAATTTTTGATTAGCCGAAAAACCTGGTATCGACTGTCGACGAGCGGAACTATTAGGAGAAATCGGAGTGACGACGATGACTACGTCCGGGTCATGTGGGTTGGGTCAAAGGTTCAGGAGAGCGTGAACAAGATTGTGGAGAAGTGGATGACAGAGGACAGGAATTCAGGGGGGAGCGGCCTGATGGGTGGGGGGAAAAGGGTGAGCGCTATGTTTGGATGGGGGGACGGCAGCTCGAGGGTTTCGGATCAGAAGCCAATATCTCTGGAGAGAACCGCACCGCAATTATCGAGCGGGGGTCATTCTCGGAAAGCAAGTGGTTCTGGGCTTGCTTCTCTTCCTACACAATGTCTACTCTCGAAACCCGCCGGGATTGGGATTCCAAGTTCTTCAGAGCCAGTGGACGGCGGATCTGTTTCATCACCCCATGTTGCAAGCTTCGGATGGAGCAGTAGGCAATCTCAGTCTTGTCCGAACTCGGTGAAGGGTGAAGAGAAAACACCTTCTACCCCGCTAAGAACGAATCTACATAGCTCGACTAGGCACTCGTTACCATCTCAACTAGCCCCCGAAAATATGTCAAGAGTCCCTCGCTCGCCGACCACCGACAAGTCAGCTGGGCCTTCGATGATGGTAACATCAACTACGATATCTCCAATTCAATCACCAACAGCGGGTACCAAAAATGGCCCCGTCGCGCCGGCCCCGGAATTTCTCCCGGCGGCGGGTAATTCGATCACAACGCATCCTCTACCTACAGGTCTACCAGCAGATACGCAAGCAGCCAATTTAGCCTCCACATCCGGCTTTGATGATTGGGGTGCCTTGGAGAATGCACCGGCAAATGCGCCACCCGCATCCCCAAACATCCAATCGCGCAATTATGACGAGTGGGGCGCATTCGAGAATCCTGCACCCAAAGAACCTGCTCCAGTGATTGGATCAGAGAGTCCCCCTGTAGTAACCAGCCTCAAGTCCATTGCCCCAGTACCAATACCATCAGTCCAGTCTCCATCCGAATCAAATAAAAAGCTCAACTCGGCTCAAACAGCACTCGGGGCAGCTAATACAACTATCGATCGAGGTGATCTTGGATCCTTGTCATTTCGACCCCCGAAATCCCAAACCCCATCAAATGTATCGTCTTCACGTGCTCCCAAGAATGAAAACATCGACTCACCAGCCTGGCCTGAATTGAAAGGTCAGAAAGCCTCTCGACCGGGTCCGGTCGAAGATTCTCGAGAGGGCTCAAACCTTTCAATTCCACCAACTTCGAAAAAAAGTGTCTCAGGCGATGGGAGCTTTATTTCTACACCGATAAACGGAAGCGCGTCCGATAGTATCAAAAAGGACCCTATCATATATAATGCGCAAACGCAACAAGACAGCGATGAAGGTGATGATTGGGGTGAAATGGTCCAATGTCCAGTTACGCCCCTGGGAGTTTTCGGCCCTACAGAAGGTTTAATGGTACCAGCTCCCGCTTCATCACAGGATATCGCTAGCCTTATTGCTTCGGCCCCGCCAGCACCATCGATCCCTCAACGTATCCCAGCACTAGATTCAGCCCCCGTACCGCCTTCGGTGCCTGCTCAGGCTATACAGCCAACATCGGCACCTTCAGCCGCCCTATGGCCGGGCAGTTTTGGGCAAAAATCGGGATCTAATATCGGAGATCCTTGGGATTTATCCTTCTTTGAAGGACACTCGACCCCTAACAGTGGGTTCCCCATTCCCAAAGATATCCCACAGCCTGATAGCCAAGATCTTTGGGATACACCGACTGTTGTGCAGGGCAAAGCCCCTGAGTCAGCGAATGATAAGGCGATCAGAGAGATTGTGGAAGGGCTGCCAGATCTGAGCTATATGTTCGGCTGAGTAGGGTCATGGGTCCTTCGGGTTAATTAAAGCTCAAACCCTAATCATATAAGTAGGGTATCAAATAATAGACGCAGTTTCCCTATGTCCTGGGGTGGATTGACCAGTTTTTCTGTTTGTCCCTTTTTTTCTTTACCTACCTTGGAGTTTGTATGGCTTTGAAAAATTTCCATCTCGTTTCACTTTGTTTATCTAGAATTATTGCGATAGATATTGCGGGTAACGCTTCATCTTAATAACATACTTTATCCACACAAATTAGCCCTCAGATGGATTTGCCATACATGGTGACCTACGGCCGGGGGGAAGGCCCAAGACAAAGGTTGCAATACGGTAGCTCCGGCTGTCTCATGATGTTAGTCAACTGCCAAGAAAGGGTGAGAAGCTCAAAGCCAACTGCCAACCTTTGGATCCTGGACTATGACACACCCACGCAACACAACATCCACCTTCAGCCCACTAACGCTCTTGTCGGAAAAAAACAGTAACGTCCCAACACCGACACCCTCCAAAGGACTGAAAACGCCTCTGGCCGAACCAAATACGTCATGGAGATCCGGCTTATTGCTATCGACCCTGGTCCAAAAGAAAAAGAAAAAGAAAAAGGGAAAGATTACCAGTGTTGATCAAGAGGTTGTGGGCTCCCCCCTCCTCCATCCCTGACTAATCGCGGAAGAGAGGGAAGAAATGGCGAGATCGCGGATGTGTCCTTGTTGGCCATCCATCAATCTCCTACATAGCTCTACCGTGCTCTGCTGAACGAACTCCGCTACACCATCCCTACCCTGATTAAATCGTCGGCCTGGATATAATACGGTAGATTTCGTATCCGGTTTTATCTCTCTCCTCGAGAAATCAGCGCGGAGCTTGCTTTTGTGTTTTCCTTACTCTCCTCTCTCTTTATTAGGAACAGGACTCCCTTTGACATACCGGTACGGATACCATGGATATCAGTCTGATATTTTATTTTCTCCGACTGCCGCTATCTATCGCCGAGGATCTGACCGATCTATCGGGAACGGAACAGCCGCTGCTCCGTCTGTTAACTTAGGTTACTGATGTGTTTACCAGAGCTCTGCTCTGCTGTCTCTTGAGGTGGTTCACCAATGCCCTACCTCCCTGCTTGCTCGAGGAGCTCAATGAGGGCGTCTACATAACGCCTCGACCCGGATGACTGAGACAATATCTATCCCACCTGTCCTCTCATCAACAGCTCGGGGAATTAAATACCTTTCAACCCATGCTGCTGTTACCGTTGGGCTAATCTAATCCTATCGAGTGATATTTCTGACCGGTTATGAATTATGAGTTTCGCTCCTTTAACTCCCTATATTTTCTGCTCTATCCCTTACCCTCCTTTCATATTCCCTTTGCTCCTAGGGCCGGGGCAAAGCAGATTGGGGCGAAAGAGGCTCTGTCCCTTGCGCTCCAGAGGGAAGTCAGCCAAGTTTGCGTAAGTACTTGTTTTTATATCATACTATTGCTTTGTCGTCTGGCTAGTGGGTTAGGTTTCTCCAAAGGGATGGTCGTCCTTTAGTAGTATCTCCATACCTGTCGCATATGGAGTGGATTACCGCCCTCGTGAACGAAGAAAGAAAGAGAGAAAGACAGAAACAAGGTGTGGGCGATGGGAGAGAGAACGGGTGAGGTGCAGAACACCCATTGCTCTTCTCGGTTCTGCCTGACACTACAATTTCTGGGCTATCGTGTGGCTATGGGAGGAAAGGAATGAACTGAAAGCCAAGAAGAGGGGGAAACCAGGGGCTGGAATAGACAGAACTGTCGGCTCAGCTCTCCGTATGAGCGGAGATGGTATTGCCGTACGTTCGCAGCTGCGGGATAGAGCGTCGTGACGTTCTTACACCGGAGAAAGACTACCAAGTAAAGCTCGTCTGACGAAGTCAGGGAGATGGGTTAGGGGTTGATAGGAACTCCGGGATGATGATATTTAAGTTGTCGTTTTTCTTTCTTTTTTTCCCGCCTTTCGTGGGAGTGGACATGAGGCAAAGGGGATTGGCTGCGGCATTGTCATATCGTGCTCTCAGATAGAAGTGTCTTGTCTCATGGATATTTGCCCTGAATAGAAATACAAAAAAGGGCAAAATCTATGTAAGGGATATGGTAGAAAGGGATAGGGAGGATACGAAAGAGGAGGAGATCACCGGTATACCGGTACTATATAGAATGTGTCCGGTCTGATCTCGTATGGTCATTCTGGGCAGGAAAGGCTTTGGAGGGCGGGCTGGCCAGCCCCAGGATACGGCACGGTATGATAGTCTGTACGGGCTGCGGGCTTCGGGCTATTGGCTCGCAAGGGCAACGGCGAGAGGGAGGTTGATGCTTCCAGTGTTTTTGGCGGACATTCGTGGGGTCTTGGCAACAACAATCCCGATTCACCATACACAACCCTACGCCTCTTCCCTCCGCTTCTCTACCGTACTCCAGTCGCTGTTCGCCGCAGCCACACAGCTCTATCAGACCGAGCACTTCCTTTTCTCTGGGTTGGAAGCACAACACCGATCAATACCAACTCCACGACGGACACATCTTCAAAATTTTCATCAGTGCAGTACCAAGATAACTACATCAGGAAGCTCTTGTTCGTACCGACGGTGTGGTCATTATTGGAGTATGCATCCCCCATCTGGAACAAATTTCTCCCACATTTCTACAATCGCTAACAAACGGGCAACAGGTCTTCTCCAGAGGGCTTTTTGGAATTACGGTAATGTCAAAACCGGTTAAGAATTCGCATCACGACAATACTCGTGACATATGGCGTCCGAATATGGGGGAGGCTGAGAGGGGAAGAGGTCGCCCGCGGTCCCAATCAAGAGAGAGAAGACGCTCACCCCCTCCTGGCCCTATGAAGAGAAGACAAGGCGGAGATCGTGATTTTAGGAGCCCGGATAGGGGGTCGAGGCCATTTGATAAACCACCTCCATCATCCCGACGACGCTCTCGGGAGAGGAGTAGAAGCGGTGATCGTAGACGTTCACCTCGCTACGGATCAATATCACCCAGACGCCCTCCTCGTATCGAGAAGACTAGCGGCCGACATGCTGGCGGCGGTGCTTCGGAGTCACGAAATTCTAATCGCCACAAACGGCACCGACCCTCTGGGTCCCCTATTAAACGCAGACGTTCTAGATCCCCCGGTCATTCTACTAATAGACACTCATCGAAAAAGACACGGAGGCCGAGGTCCCCTTCAAGATCTCGATCGGTAGCCAGGCGTGGTAAAAGGGATGCTTCGGCTTCGCCAAGGCTATTATATTCACCACAACACAGGAAGCATAAGCCTCCGAGTCGAAGTCATGACAATCGGGATAGGTCTATGTCAAGTTCTCCGAGACGCTCACCTCGCGACTTTCGATTCAGGTCTCCTATCCGTAGACCAGTGCGAGGCTCATCGCCGCCATCATCCAGGCGTCATTCACCACCTCCTCCATCAAGGGGACGCTCGGTATCCCCTATGCCACCACCACCGCCACCGAGGGGGCGGCGTGGTTTCCGACGAAATTCCCGATCACCACCAACTGGCCGTGGCCGGCGACAATTTTCTTCTCAACGATCTCCCCAATATCACCCTAATAGATCACCTAGGTTTCGCTCACCACCTCATCCGCAGTCACCTCCGGAAAAAAAACGATCAGCAAGCCCGCCGCCCACTCTGGATCAGAACCCTCGGCCAAAAGCACCTTACCCTAACAGCCCTCACCCTGGCGAGTTGGATGAACACTTTCCAGCGGTGGATTCCAATCTGTACGACCAATCATCGGTACCCAACAATAACTCCCGGTGCGGAACCGTTTCAGCGCAAGATAAGTCGGGCCCCAACTCATTCAATAGCCAAGATCCTGCTGAGGGTTCTTTCAAGACTCTCACTCCAGAGCACAATGCCCAGCAACCGGCTCCCCCGACAGCATCACACATACATGATGGTCCATACGTAAACCCGGATCGCCAGAAAAATATTCTTGCAGATGATACTCCCGGCTTTGGGAGGGGTCGGAGGTTTTCAAGAGAACATCCAACAGGGTATGTCACCTTTGATCTTTAATAATTTTAATTCACACAATACTAAATGAATCGAAGCCCCTCGCGAGGTAGTTATCATTATCAGGATGGTCCTCCACATGGCGGTCGACGTGGGTCGCAACATTCTGATTACCATGCTCCCTTTTCTGGCCGTAGCACTCGTCAGGGTCAGTTTTCACCAGAGAGACGTCAGTCATTTGAAGAGCGTAGGCCGGGCCGTCGCTTTGGGGGAAGAGGTCATAGAGGACGGGGGCGTGGTGGGGGGGGTGGAGGAGTTCACTATGATGATGGAGGAATGGGAAGAGGGAGAAATCGATTCGATCTACATGAACAACCGCCAACACACCCTCGCCAAAGCCGTCCTGCCACGCCTGAGGATTCTCGCCGCCCTAGCTCTAAGTCTAAGGATGGGTCACAAGAAGGCCATCACGAGAAGGAGAGTGATGACGGTAGTATGCCAAATCCTAGGAATGATTCGGTAGCCCATGAACCGGGCTCGCAAGTTGATCACGAGATGCCTCCGCCCTCCTGGCCCGCTTCCAAGAACAGCCCGGAACCTCCTCTTCAGGATTCCCGTCTTTTCAAACGCATACCCGGTGACCCGAACACAAATCGTGGGCCCGTGTCGGGCGGATCTGCTCCAACTGGCGAGAACAAGGGCGGAAGCAATTTTCGACCCTTCGCCCTTGGGCTTTCCAAGAATAAAAAATCATTGCCGAAGGCCCTCGATGCCTCGCGGGAACCACCTTCAAGAGGACAGCCCAGGGGATCTGGCGTCAATAACATTCCCTTGGGAAAGAGCGTTGAAGCGCTCACAAAGCCCGTAAAACGAGAGGCACAATTACCGCCAATGGCACCAACAAATAATTACCAGGAGAAAGAAAAAGTACCTCAAGTTCCGGAGACCCCCATGGTTCATCCAATCGCTCGTCCACAGCCTCCTCATGCCAAAGAGTCAATTTACACCCGGTTGAGTATGGTTGGGGAAGGCACTTATGGGTGAGAACCTTTCGGTTATCTTATTAGTTTCCATTACTAACCTGATTGGCTCTCTCTCTATAGTAAGGTGTACAAGGCGTCCAACAGTGTTACAAAGGAATTGGTTGCTCTCAAGCGTATTCGTATGGAGAGTGAGAGAGATGGCGTATGTTTTACGGGCCCGAGCCTCCTTCGCACTGAACAGGGCTAACCTGTCGATTCTAGTTCCCTATCACGGCGGTGCGAGAGATGAAGCTTTTGCAAGCGCTAAAGCAGGACAATGTGGTCTCCCTGCTGGAAATGATGGTTGAAAAAAGTAGGTCTTGACTCAGTTCCAAATGTTACCATCTATTAAACTGGTGTTAATACAGGCGACTTTTACATGGTGTTCGAATATATGGATCATGACCTCACCGGAATTCTCAATCATCCGACATTCAGACTCGAGCCTTGCCATATCAAGCATCTTGCGAAACAGTTCTTTGAGGGTTTAGAATACCTCCATCATCGCGGTGTTCTTCATCGTGATATCAAGGGTTCCAATATTTTGCTCAACAACGATGGACAATTAAAAATTGCCGACTTTGGACTTGCTCGATTTTATACGAAAGCCAGTAAGAAACAATTAGATTATACCAACCGCATCATCACTCTTTGGTATCGTCCCCCCGAGATCCTTCTTGGGGCCACCGCCTATGGTCCCGCAGTTGATATATGGAGCGCTGCCTGCGTATTTGTTGAGCTTTTCACAAGGCAGCCGATTTTCACAGGAAAAACTGAGATCGACCAGCTGGATACCATCTACAATGTCATGGGTACTCCCAGCGTGAAAATCTGGCCCGGTCTGAAAGAGATGCCATGGTATGGATTACTGAAAACGCCTGCACGGCGCCGACCCAAGTTCCAGGAAAGATATTCAAGGTATGTGCCATGTCTGCAGATGTGATCCGGCTGTGGCTGACAATTTCATAAGCCTTTTGCCAGCTACCACTATGGAGCTAGCGACCCAAATGCTACAATATGATCCTGACAAACGGCCTTCGGCTGAAGAGATTCTGAAACATCAGTACTTTTTGGAAGAACCGGCTCCCGCACCTCCGCTTGGGTGAGTTGCCCGTCTTTTCCTTCACGCGCCCCTCACTAATAACACGTGTATAGTTTGCGTGACCTTAAGGGAGATTGGCATGAGTACGAATCCAAGATTGAGCGCCGGAGAGAACGTGAGATTAACGAAAAGAAGAAGCGAGCTCTGCAAGAAGTGGACCGCAAGAAATGGAAGGAAGCCCAAGCCGAGAAGAAGAGGCTAGCGCAACAGGAGTACAATCCTGAACGGCCTGTATCGGCCACAGCCTCTAAGCGAAAGCGCGAAGATGGTGACATTGAACCACCCGGGTCTTCTGGTTCGGTCAAGAAACGGGAGGTCGGCTCTTGAAATCTATCGGTGGTGTTTGTTAACGCAAGATGTTTGGGTTTGTACTTTTTTTTTCTTTTTTTTCTTCCCCTATCCATCTCTTCGGCCCTTCTGTCTTTCCATCTTCCGTCGCTTCCTAAACATGAACGGAGCAAAAACTGGGACGTGGAAAAAAATTTGGCGTTTAGGGATGTTGTTTTTATCCTCGGTGATACAACCCATCACCCCCCTCCCCTTTTCTCTCCCCATTTGGCAAAATTACTTTGCAATTAAGTGTGTATATAAATTGTCTTACTGTATTTTCGGTATTGCTGTAATGTCCCTCCCCGCCCTTTTTTCTTCCCTCCCTATCTTTTTTTCCTGATTCTCCTGTTCATAATTCTTCCTTCTCTTCTTTAACTTCAATGTGGTTTTTATTATGTATGGCACAAACATAGCGGTGCAATTGCATGGAAGCTAGTAAATGGAGTCTTTGGGTTCATATTAGTATATGGTAAGCAATGTACTATACCTCAATAACGACCAGTTATGCGGAAAGGATAGCGATCCTACACGAGTACCAGCTATTAACATAATTTTCTTTGCCTTGGACCGCATGCATAACGCCAGCCGCACCAACAGGAATATCTATCCTCAATCTATCCGTGTGAGGCAAAGGGGGCCAGGGGAGGGGCAGAGAGAGAACCAGAGCACCTCAAATGAGTATCCCATGATACTCCGCCCTGCGGTACTTCTCCGCAAGCCCAGGCCACTGCACGACAAACCTGTCCGTAAACGCATACAGCAATTTCCCGGACAGCGACAACGAGCGAACCCGTGCAAAAGATTCTACGTAGATAATCCTCGTCCTGCAGAGTCCGAGAAACTACGCGCCATCATCAGCACCAGTTCAATCCAGTCAATTCGGAATAGTGGCTTGAAACGAACCTTACAAAAGAAACAAACCCCAACAACCACAACCGCGGACCCGGGCCCGTTGCAAACAACCACATCCGGCAAGCCAATCCGCGCGAATACACGAACACAGCCGGCCAGGCACGCGGCGCAGGTCCACGGGGTGCTCAGCCAGCTCTGCCCAACCAGTCGAGCGCGCGGGATCTCCAGGATGTCGTAAGAGGCGGGGGATGAGTTAGAGGCGGACTCGAATGCGGTAGCTTTTTTGGCGGAAAGCACGTCGCCGCGGGATATCATGTATGTGCGCTTGCAGCGTGAGGCGCGGGAGAGGGAACAGGAGGAGGAGATTAGGGAGAGCATTTCGGTGGTGTGCCCGCCCGAGCCGAGGAGGTAGAGGATGTGCGGCTTCATCGCAGGAGGGGATCGAGGGCGGTCGGCGCGGGTTATGGAGGGGGTTACCGAGAGGAGGCGGAGCTGGGGGTTAGTGGTCGAATGTTAATATGTAGAGGTGGATTGGTAGGAGGGAAGAGGGAGAACGTACGAATAGGAGGAAGGAGAGGATTATCATGCCGGTGAGGAGCTGGGAGATCATGGCGAGTGCGTGTTTGTGATGCGGCGGGATGGTGGGTAGGTGCGCTTTCGTGTTCGGGGCGTGGTGGTGGGGGGAAGTACAGTAGGGTACCAGCGACCTAACTGAATGAAGGGAAATATGGTGCGCGCGTAGGCCTTGGCTTGGTTGGCCGCAGGCCGGTTGGTTGGCGCAACTTTGTCGTTGGGGCGGGGTGCATGGGTGCACCACTGCAGCAAAAAAGTCAAGTTACCCGGCTCTCGAGGCTCCGGGTGGACGAAAATGAACCACCCCCCCCCCCACCACAAAGGTTAATGTGGCGTTGATCAAATCCCACGACACCTGGACTCTCCGGCAATGCTACTTCCACAAACACCCACGATGTGGATCCTCCAATCTCTACGGAGTACCTGCGCGGGCGGTAGCGGCAGCAGCAATAGGATCCTACAGCAAGTGCGTCACGCAACGCACAAAGCCTCCGGGGCCGCCAACGGCGCCAGTAACACCGCCGGGAAAAGACTCGGTGCGAAGAAAACCGCTGGTACCCTCCCCCACTTCCCTCTCCACCCCCCCCCCCCCCCAATCCCAACTAACAAATGCGAAAGGCGAAAGAGTAGTCCCTGGAATGATAATCTACCGCCAACGCGGCACCCTCTGGTTCCCGGGTGAAAATGCCGGCATCGGTCGTGACCATACGATCTTCGCGCTGAGGACCGGATACGTCCGTTACTACCGCGACTCTGGGCCCAAAAAACGCAAGACCATCGGCATAGCCCTGACACCCAACCAGCCCCTACCGCGCCCGCCCAACGCTGCGCGCACCCGCCGCCTCGGCTTCGAGCCCGTCCCACTCGTCGAAAAGGAGGACGTTAGTGTGCCGCAGGGGACGCCACTGACACGGGAAGACTGGGCGAAGGTCGTGCCCGGCAGCTATATTCCCCGTCCGGATAATTGGAGGATTGGAAAGGTTATGGGTCCTGTCGTTAAGAAGAAGAGTGTCTTTGAGGGGTTCGAGAAGAGCGCCAAGAGGAAGGAGGCTAGGTTGAGGAAGATTGCGCTGAAAGGGGGGAAGGCTAAGGCTAAGGCCAAGGCTAAGGCGAGGGCTAAGAAGGCGAAGGGAGCGTGAGCGACCGGATGAGCGGTAGAGGAACGGGTTTGGTGCGGAGGATGGGTGTATATATAACGGGGAATTTGGGGATGTAGACTTTAACTTTAGCAATTCCTGTTGGAAGTCGTCCCGGTATTGGAGCAAAGCCGTTCCGGCACGCATCACACAGTTGCCATCATGACTCGTCACTCGCTCTCGTTTTTCGGAGTAACCGCCTTGCATTTCCCCCTCCCCCTCTCCCCGCGCAGGCTATGAAGAATGCTGAACGCCAGCACGGAATGCAAAGGGCATCATCATCACTTTTCGTCTCGTTCTATCGCGATCGCTCAACTCAGCAGAGCGCCGCGACACCTCTTCTTGATGTGCTTCGCGACTTTACGAAATGGTGAGTGAGTGCATCTGTGCAGCGCCTCCCGGAAGTTTCACACTCATGACCGGAAGCTGAAGGGGCTGGAGGATGAGTGGTGACTGATGTTTCGTGCCCTCCTGGGTAATTGACTGCGAAAGGACTGCTGAAAGGGGTATCAGCCCCTAACAAATACTGAATGTTCCTCGGCTTTGTTTATCATACTTTGTTTCCGATTTGTGTGGTACCTGTACCCTGTAGCTATGTGGGGCCATCGAACGGGGGCGTATAGAGTGTGATACCGTAGCTTAGTGAAGATAGGAGGGATGGTTGCACTCACATGATCTCACTCGGCCCTGCGGCCTGCCCTCAAACCAACCCTGACTCAGCAAGCTGACTAATCCTCCAAAAACCTAAGCTCGTGATCCTGTTCATGTCCCAATTCCTCTCCAAACCAGAGCAGGGCAATTAACGTTACATCCTTCCCGAAACACACACTCCCGTATGGCATCCCGGTCGCCGAGGAGGGCCTCGTCTCTAATCACCTCATCCCCCACATTGCAATGCCTACAACGTCGGACCCGACCCTTTGTTCTGCTTCCCCCACGACGATACATCCAACAGGCTGCGGCGGGAGGTGGAGGGGCTTCGGGATATCTGCCTCCCCGAAAAATCACCCACGCCCGACCTCAGCAGCGAGCGCCATTCCCAATTCGAAATCCCCGGCCATTCGCGGTCAATGATGACCCTGCAAGGCTGAACGAGATGTACACAATCTTGCTAGGGAGGGAAATGTGGCTCACCGATGAGGTTAAATGGCAGGCTGTTACACATAAGAGTTTTGATCACGGACGGCAGCCGTTTAATGAGAAGTTGGCTATATACGGTATGTTTTTTTTCTTGTTTTTTCCTCTGTGATAATTGGGAGGCCTGGATGGCACACGGGAGAGGGTTATGTGTGCTAACTATTAGGGAAAAAAGGTAAACGGGTTTGTTGGTTACATGCCACATTACATTTACTAAATAGCCCACCGATCGAGGAGAAGAAGGTCTATGAATCTCCTAATTTCGTGTCTTCGCTGGACGGAACGCCATACCGGAAGCCAGAACCGTTCTTTCATCGGGATTACAAGTCACTGGTTTCGATCAAGGATAGAAATGTCCGGGCCATTCTCGACCCTGGAAAGTTGGCTACCATTGCTCATCTTGTACGGGTAGCCGACGTCATGAGGTGGAAGCCGAAAGACGTATGATACCCTCCTATATATCTTCCCCAGCTTCGAGGGCGAGACTAACAGTAGGGCTGGCGGGATAGAGTAATGACCTCCAAGGTTCCGGACAAGCGCTGGTGGCAACCCAGGCTTTGTATGCGATTGTCGGCGCCTTAGCATTACAAAGGGGAGGGGATATCGCTGGAAGTGTGGTCCGAGAGAGACTCATTCCAAGTGTCGATTGGTTGCGGGAGAAAACCAAGGACCTGCAATCATAAGAATGTGGGTCGTGATCTGGTGGATGTTCACTGGGGGGCTGGGGCAGGGGTGCTAGAAAAAGCTAAGCAACCAATAAACACGCCAAAACTTGTATCATACGAACTGGATATGGGAATCGCGGCCGCTGTATATATATCACGGAATTTGGCATTCTTAAAATTGCATTTTCATGTTTTCTTCTCTTTTTTTTGCACGGTGGGGTTATGGGATGAGATTGCTATGGGGGTGGATGTGAGGTTTGGATTTTTTTTCTTTTTTTTCTCCATTGCTAGTCCGCCCTTGCGTGACTCGGTGCGTTGCCAAGAATGTTCCTACTCTCTATCCCCCCTTCAAAAGATGTCATCTTCTACCCCTTCCATTTCTCGCTCCCTCTTCTCTTCTTCACCTCTCACCATTTTCACAATCATCCCCGAACCTCCCAACATCGCGGCACCCACCTGGTATGTATCATGCCCCCCCCGTCCCTTTGCATTGCTTGCGCTTCCTTCCCCCCCTTCATGATGATCACCTGGATCGACTACCATACGGAGGAGAATGACTTTTTCTTCCTCCGGTGATGATAATCCATAACCAAAATAGACTACAACGGTATCTGAGCTGGTGCTGTTTTTGTTTTAGATTGTCCGAAAAAAATTGGGCGGTATCTGTTTATGCTGACCAATTTTCCTTTTTGGTAGACTTTTTTTGGGGGGGTTCGTCCACTTGGGCTTTTATTACGGATTCTATCTTGATGAGAACACAGAAGTGGTAAGATTTTTTTTCATTTTTTTTCATTTTTTTCATTTGATTTGATTTTAGTGTTGCATGTGTTCCCTCTACCGTTGTGATGATTTGTAAGCGTATTTGACAGAGAGAGAAGCGGGCCTTTTCTTACCTCCTTGACAAACAAATCTAAGTCATAGACTACAACGGTATTGGCGCGTACTTTTTCCATCATACTCCTTCTTTTCTCGCTTGTTGATTGATCGTTTCTAATGCTCGAGGTGCTTCAGGATCCGATGACTGCCCCGCCTCCACTCCCCGCTGCTTTGCCAACACGATACAAGAAACCGAATTACCACCTTCTCCATGCCCTCCCTCTCCCGCTTAGCGTCACCCCGCTTCCACCATTGATACCACATAATCCGCTCTCTTTGATTCATATAATCATTGCCTATCTCTTCCCCCCAGTTTCATCCCATCCTTCACCGCTACACAAGGGCTTTTTTCATTCTTCTACCAGGTCGGTGCACATTACCGATCAAGAAACAATCAAGGCCTTCTGGAATCATGGTTTCTTTGGAAAGGGAAATCTGTCTCGTAGTGAGCCTACATGGGTGATACGTAGAAGGCGGGCTTTGGGGGTGATTGGCCGAGATGAAGCGTTGACAGCGGAGGAAGTGACCGAGCGACGCCGAGGCGAGAGAAAGGGCTTCAAAAAGGAGCGTGCTAGACTGGAGAAAGAGAAGCGTGACAGACAGCTAGCGGAGGAAGGCAAGCTTACCTTGGAGGGCAATGAGGACCAGGAGGGAACAGCCTCCGGCAGTAGCAGTAGTACAGCAAGGGCTGTTCATTTTGCCCCGTTGGAATCACCCAGTAGTCGGCGACGGAGCTTGGAGAGGCCGGTCGCGGACGTGGATGATATAGAGCATTTACAATTAACGCTTGAAGAGGCGTTCTTCCTATCGTTCGGGCTGGGAGCGCTGGAATTGATGGATGCTGACACTAACGTACGTATCTGTATATATGAATATAAAATTTCCCCGCACTCTACCGAGCCGTTCGGGTGAATATAAAAACTGATCCAAGTGATGGCCACAGAAGAAAATACGCCTGAAGGATACACTCCAGCTATTTCGCGCTCACACGTACTTTCCCCCTCGGAACCCGCAGAGTAGTTTTGAGCCGGATGATCCCTTCATGCTTAGCTATGTTGTGTATCACCACTTTCGCTCCCTAGGATGGGTTGTCAAGCCTGGCGTAAAGTTTGCTGTAGACTACCGTGCGTATGCATTATCATCAGTCTGTATTGTTGCCTACTGACTATGGGCAGTGCTGTACAATCGTGGACCGGTGTTCTCCCACGCCGAGTTTGGAGTCCTGATTCTCCCAGCCTATTCACATCCCCACTGGGCCGACGACAAGTCCCGCAAGGAGGGCAGGGAGCTGCGGCCATGGCATTGGCTGCACAGTATCAATAGGGTCAGTTCGCAGGTGAAGAAGACTGTCATACTGGTCTTTGTCGAGGTACCACCACCGCTGGATGACGACGAGGAAATGGGTGTTGCCGATCTTTTAGCAAGGTATAGCGTCAGGGAGGTGGCATTGAGGAGATGGCTGGTTAGCCGTAACAGGGACTGAGCGGGTTGTGTGCGGGTCTGTCTGTTTTACTCTACTCTACTCTATATTGCCGTACCTTTTTGCTTCATCTCTTTTATCCACCCTCTCATTACACCACTGGACAGCGTTGGGCGATGGGGACGGGGCATTTTCTGCGTGCCACTGTGGGATTGCCGGGACACTCTTGTATGTAAAAAAGTATCATGAAATCAACCAACGGGGGGAAATCTTCATTACCATTTTCCCCTTTCCCTGGGTGTAGGTGGAATAGGAGGCAAAAGAGGGAGAGAGAGAGAGAGAGAGAGAACTATAAAGCATTCTACCAAGTGTGAAAACCACAAAAAGAAGAAACAAACAACATATCATATCATATCATATTAATACATCCTACCTACCTCCCTGGTATACTAGTACGATTACCTCCCTTCACAGCAACCCTTTCCTCGCCAACTCCACCTTCCTCCCCACAAAGCCCGCCCTCCCACCACGACTCAAGCAAACGGCAATCCCATCCGCATCCAACTCAAACTTCTCCTCGACGCCCGGCCACGCGCACGGGCAATGCGTCGGCTTATCCACGCAGGACAAGGTCCCAGGACACAAGTAATTACTACAAGTCGCTAAAAAAAAAAAAGCAACCCACCAATCCATTTAGCATTCGCGTAAATAATAATAATAACGATAATAATAAAAAAGAACCAGGAGGAAGGAAGGGAAGGAAGGAAGGAAGGAAAAAAAGAAAAGAAAAAAGTTTTGCTTCTCACCGCTATCATGAGTCTGCTGGTACCAGCTCGAGTCGCTAGGGACGTTGCCGCGCTCGCGTTGGTTGGGGGAGGAGGAGGAGGAGGAGCCGAACATCTGGTCGAAGAAGGAGCCGAATTGGGCGGTCGTCGCTGGCGCGGAGGATAGGAGGAGGAGGAATAGGAGAGGGAGGGGAGTTATGGTTGTTGTCGTCGGACGCATTTTTTTTTTTGGCCGTGATCGTGGTTGTTGATTGTGGTTTGTGTGAGGTTTTGGAAAAGGAAAGGACAGCTTGGCGGTTTTCTTTGCAAGTTTTGTCATGTGGGTGGTGGTGGTGGTGGTGATTGTGGTGGCTTGGCGGTCATGGGATGTCACTCGAGTTGGCTTTATGTGGATGTGGATGTGGATGTGGATGGATGGATGGTTGGACTACCGGTAGCGGGTGTACTCGAGTACGGTTAGTGGGGCGGGATATCCCTTAACCTGTATTCAGACACTGGCGCTAAAATGAGGCTTGACAAGATAGATTGTAAATGTAACTAAAAAGAGTAAAGTGTTTAGTGATTATGATAATTATGATGTAACAAGGGTGTGTGGCTATAATGTGCAAAAAAAAAGAGTATTCAATATTGTTCCAATGTTCAACCATCAGACAATGTGCTTTGTAAACAATAATGAACAATCCAAATGCTGAAGTGTACTACAGTGAAGAGGAGGAAATAGAGTTTTATAGCAGCGGGCAAGGGTTAGGAGAGATATTTGAGAAAGAGATTGTCAACAATGGCGGGCCAGTCAACCATGAAGCAATTGAGTAGGTGGCAGAAGACTCGGATATGAATAGTAAAGTTCAAGAAAGTGATAAGGCAGAGCTAGAAAGTGAAGATGAAGACCTTGGTGAAGATGAGTGAGAACAGCAGCCTCTACAAAATCTACCTGCCATACCCAGATTTGCATCCTATCAGCATCCACAACTACCACATAAGAGAATTCTCCATCTTCTGATTGAGTTTTTTTGGTTGGTATGATCCAGTCTGGAATCCAGAACCCTGTAATACCTATTGATCTTTGGATTTCTTCTAGCTATTCTTTGATCAAGAGTAGTTTGAAGAACTCATAAGAAATACCAACGCTTATGTAATGGTAAAAGATGCAGGAAAAGAGAACTCTCACAGATGGTATCTGGTTGAAGTAGGTGAGATTATGATTTTCCTAGGCTTAATCATTTATATGGATCTGTATCTGATTAGTACAGTACCTGACTGCTAGCGGAAGGATAGTCTAGCTCTACTTTATAGGTAAAACAATTTAGTTTCAATATTATATACATAGAACTTGAAGTTCAATTAATTCAATTTTAGAATATCACAGTATGTGACCCAAGTGTGCTTTGAGCAACTGAAGCGATATTTTCATGTCTCAATTCCAGTTGAGAACATGCCTCATCATGTATGGTATCAATAGTTAGAGCCACTTTCAACCAATCTTCAATGCTGCTACTAATACTATTGTACTCTAGCTATATAAGTCTCAGTTGATGAGATGATGATTCAGTTTGTTGGTAGATCAGTTTGTACTATAAGACTTCCCAATGAACTTATACTAGAGAAGTATAAAGTTTTTGCCCTATATAAGCATGGGTATACATTTTCGTTTATATATATATTTCAAGTTAATCAATTTTCAGGACATGACCTACCATATCTGAGACCTAGCAATCTACAATTGTGGGAGGTGGGACAACTATGTGTGCCCACCTCCCACATAGTTTTCCACCTGGCCACAGCCTTGCCATATTAGTAGTATTGATTTGTACTCTATTGTAACAACTACTTCAGTAATATTCTGCTGTTTCAAGCTCCCCGATTCTACCAAATTGTCGCCTGTGGTACAGTCTGACCTAATTCAGCAGAGTATTCCACAGTCTTGAAAATCAATAAATGAACAAGCTCTGCTACTATGGGGTACTATTTCTGGAGTTGTACCTGATGACCATGAGGTACTAGCTATAATTTGGCAGGATAGGACTTTGGTGCACCTTCTTACAACAGCATATAACATGAGACCATTGCCACAGAATTATACGACCCATCTTTGCCACCAACCATGATGTTCCAATAACCGAAATACATATCGGAGCATGATTGATGAGATTTGGGGAGAGTTGCATGTCCAGGAACTTGTATTACCAACTGCTATGGTAGACTACAACATGCATATGGGAGGTATAGATATAGAAGACTAATACTGCAGTTACTATTTTACACAATTATGAGTTGTTAGAAATTGGATGCCTATTTTCTTTTTGCTCCTTGATACAATTCTTATTAATACATTTCTGATCACTCAGTAGTACATAGGGGGAACACGGCATTCACTTTGGCAAAGGAACTTAATATTTAAAGAAAGACTTGTCAGAGATCTAGTAGAGAAGGGCTATTGGTAGCTACATCCAGGACAAGTACCAGAGTTCCAGTCCGATGACTTTCAGCCTTTGGTTCGAAGTGGAAATAATCATACCAGCCAAGCAATAGGTTACATTACCAAAGTTACCACCCTACTGTTACACATAGAAGCGTAATTGGTACAGAACGTGACTAAATGCATAAGGTTATGTGTTCGACTCTGGGCCCCGCCGTAGTTATTATGACAATATCATATTATCGCACGGAACGATAAGGCATCTATGCAGCCCCCTCCGCGGAGATACGAGGCATGTGACTGAGGGGTTTTCACTAGATAACATAGAAGGAGCTCTGCTCTAAAAGATAAGACTTAGTTGGTTCAGATTGGTCGGTTAGTTATAGAGCTATGACCTCTGCAAGTCTATACGCAATTACAAGAAGTAATATGCATGTCCCTATAGCTCGCGTAAACTAGAGTCATCCAGAAGACCTAGTTACGATTGGTTAATAACTACTCACTGGTCGAGTTAGTTATCTTCGTCATGCACTCTAAGCTATGCACATAGAAGAGTCATTGATAAGTCCTTTGACGGAGCTGATCACTCGACTCAGGAAGAGAGCTGGGAAGTTAGTTTTGAGGGTCAAACGGAGTTCACACTCCAAAAGACACTGAAGCGTTAGTATGACAAGTACATAGTCTGTAAGGGATTGGATGTAGGCCGCGACCACCCAGACACGGACTATGAATATCGAGGTGTCTCCCTAGCTTTTAAGCATCCTCTGTCTCCGCTACACCTCCGGCGATTGAATCATCCTCCATCTCCGCTACACCTCCGGCGATTGAAAACTCAACACCACAGTTTTTATCGTGAGTTTTTTGTTTCGTCGCGAAACATTCACCTCCCTCCCGCCCACTCCTGCCTTTGGCCTCGGCCTAGGGGAGTCTGGCTCCTCTCTCCTCTCCCACCCGGAGGTATTGACTTCGGTCTACTGTCCTTGGGTCCTCTCCCTTCCTGGGGGTTGGTCGGTCGGAGGCCCTCCTTGGCTGGCTGGCAGGTGGTGGGATCCCATCCACTACAGTGACGCTATCTCTCCCAGAACAAGGGACTACATGAGAGACGCGGGAAAACACCTGCCATGCTGGCCTAGGCGGCCGTTGATGATCTTCCTTTCTCCCCCTTTCTCCTCCCCCCACGCGTGGTGGGGAGTCCTATCCTCCTCCGGAGTTGGCCTCCCTTAGCCTTCTCACGGTCGGCAACCCCTTAACCACCATCGTCAGAAGGCCGGGACTACAGTTGCAGTAGGGGAGAACAGCCAACAGGCTACGGTCGATCTCCCCATTCTCTTGTTCCCCTAAGAGGCTGCCTAGGCAGACACGAACGCGATTCCGATAGACGTTGTTTAAGGTCTTTGGGCCTACCCCTCCACTCTCCTCTCCCTACGGTCGGATAGGCTGGCACCCTACTGCTACACCTTCCCCCCCCCCCGGTTATCGCCCACGGCCGGCTGGTCTCCTCCTTCCCTCCATGGTATTGCACTGTCTCCTTGGAGCGGGTCTGGGGGGGGCCTCCTATCTTAGCGCGCTTCGTGCGTCGCTTCCCGCTTGAATGAGT